CACTTATAATAATATAACAATTTCACATTTTCAGTGAATTGGTTAGAATATGTAATCTGCAAAAATTACCTCTAGAAATCCCCCTGTATTTTGATTTATAGCAAATGTATCACTGCTTATATTTGACAAATATTTACTAAAAAGATACTTTACCTGTATTTTTAATACCATGGGCAAATCTATCTGTTTTATTTTGATATTTTATAGTTCCTATTAATCTTTTAAATGCATGCAGTGAAGACTTAAAGTTTTTCTGCAGTACAAGCTGATGCATTGTATTCTCGTTAGATGCCATGTTGTCATCCACTTTACCAGACATAAGAAGTCTATTTTTTGCAGACCTGGAGACAAAAATAAGTGTAAGATCATCATCGTGATGTATTGATGGTGTGACTGAGCAAGAGAAACCGTAACACAACCCATACTAAAATTAAGTCACAGGACTCAAAATTCACAAAATTACTTAAAATTGCTACAGAATCACACTAATACTAAGGGGTGTATTTATAAAAAAAAATGCATAGCAATTTGCTCAGTGAAAATGCATGTACATTTGTTTTGTGTGAATGAGACATCAAATTGAATGGTATTAGGCTATGTCCTGTGCTTGACAAATGTTTTTTTTCATTCATTTAAAATGGTAAACATGGCATTTGGCCAATAGTTGGAGTAAAGTATTATAGGAATACGAATCTTTGCCCCATTTACATAGACAAATGTACATTTACTTTCAGTATAGGAATTGCAAAGCTTTTTTTTTTAAATAAATATTATTATTATTATTATACAGGATTTATATAGCGCCAACAGTTTGCGCAGCGCTTTACAATATAAGGGAGACAGTAAAATTACAATACATTTCAGTACAGAAGGAATAGGAGGGCCCTGCTCATGGAGCTTACAATCTAAAGGATACCCCTTAACCCTTTTATTGCCACTGACGTAGAAACTACATCAGTGGCTGTGGGAGGCTTCAAACACACTTTTGGTGGCTGGTAAAAAATAAAATAAAATAAAAAATTCCATTATATATACCGCCATATGTAAATGCTATAACTTTCACATAAATCAATTAATTTACATGTTTTGGGATTTTTTGTTAGCAAAGACATGTAGCAGAATACATTTTGGTCTAAATTTATGACAACATTAGATTTTTTAAAAAACCTTTTACTGGACATATTTAATGGCAAAAAGTCAAAAATATTGTTTTTTTTTTAATCAAAATTGTCTTTTTTTGTTTATAGCACAAAAAAATAAGAAACGGACAGGCAATCAAATACCACTGAAAGAAAACTCTATTTGTGGGAAAAAAGGACATACAATTCATTTGAGTGAAGTGTTGCATGACCGCGCAATTGTCAGTTCAGTTACAAAAAATGGCCTGGTCAGGAAGGGGGGTAAATCCTCTGGAGAGTAAGTGGTTAATTATATTAGATCTGTAAGGCAGGGTTTACATACAGTGTATGTGGTGTATTACCTCAAACATTTTAATGCGCATTATGTCACATTTAAACATGCATTACAGTAAGGTGCACCACAATGGACCAAAATACGCGCTTGCCCCTTTTTTTCACAACGCACAGATGGTTCACATCTATATGTTCTGGTTGGGGCGGACTGACCATTTGGAAACTCGGGCACTGCCTGAGGGCCCGGGGTCAGTAGGGGGCCCCATGAGATGCCCCTGGTACCTTTTTCATAGGCCTTTTTGAGTTTGGGCAAGGACACAGGGGCCCCATGATCCCCTGTTGCCCGGGGGGCCCTATGAGTTGTCAGTCCGCCCCTGGTTGTGGTATGCTAAATTGTACTACACAATTTCATAATGTACGGTAAAAGACGCACTTTACCACAATTCAAACATGTTAACTCTGTCTAAGGGCTCATTCATACCATGTCCGCTTTCTTTGGCTTGATCAACGCAGGCCCAATGCAAAGACACATGGGAACCAATCATGCTCTGTTCACACTATACATGCTACATTTGTACGCAGTGCAATGCACTACACTGTGGGGTGTATTTACTAAAACTGGTTCACTCCGAATCTCGCACACGTCTGCATGGAAACCAATCAGCTTCCAGGTTTTATTGCTAAAGCTTAATAGAACAAGCTGAGGTGAGAAGCTGATTGGCTCCCATACAGAGCTGCTCCAGATTCGAAGTGAACCCCTCTATGCCAAAGAATCACAGTACATTGCTGTGGTGCACAGAGTTAAATGAAATGTGATTTTTTGACATTTCAATAAAAAAAAAATATCTATAAACACTGCAATGCGTTGTTACAAGACAGCATTATGTGGGTGCACAACCCATACCAGTGAGAGGGCACTATGCACAACATAATGGTGTAAATGAGCCCTAAGAGACATTACTTACGTTTACTTCCCAGTCTCCTGGTTACCATGGCAATATTACTTCAGTTGAAGGAAAGCTGTAGGACTGTACCAAATTCTGGCGGTGGGAGCCAACTTTTCACAAATAAGTAAATTAGCAAATAAAAAAGATTATAAAGCTTTAAGCAGAACTAACAGCAAACCTTTTTTTAGTATTGGATAAAGTGAAGAGAGACTAGACCCCTGTCAGGTTTCTATTGCTGTCTGTGCTCCCTTTAGGTAGATTCGCCCTCTTTATTTGTCCTGGGACCGTTGTCACAGAGAGTGAAAGTGAAGGAGAACCCCCAAATTTTGGGTTGCCACCAGAAACAAAATACGGGAGAAATCTTCCAATACGTTCTGGTAGCCCTGCTGATAACCAAGGAATTCTTTCACTTTGGGGGGATTTTTTCTCACTTCCTGTTTTGGCTATGAGACAGGAAGCAAAGAGAAATCTCCCAAATGGGACACAGATGACAAAAAAAAAATGACAGGGGTCATAAAAAGAAAAATCTGTATCTGAGGTTCTGCGTATGGGCTGTAAATTATACTGTATGCATGTAAGCATTTTTCCTAATGCTTAAATGCAAACAGTGTACAGCGCAAATGTTGGATTTTAATTGCTGCTTGCCTTCTAGCAACGGTAGGATGCTAGATGACGTAAGCCTCAGGTGTCCTAGCATTAGAGGACACTAGGAAGCTTCTCTTAGCTTCAATACGACGCTAGGCAGCAGAAGCCACTTATGTCCTGGCTACAAAATCTGCTATGTGCCTTCGTTGAGAAGACATCTGTACCCTAATAAGAAAGCTGTTTACACTGTAAGCATGTAAACATTGCTAAAACATTGCATGCATACAGAGCAATTTTGGTACACAATCTTGCTGCCATTTTCTTACAGTAAGATTCTGCATACTGGTAACCATAGTTTTATAAGGCAGTTTTGCATGAGTGCTTAACCACTTGCCTACTGGGCATTTATACCCCCTTCCTGCCCAGGCCAGTTTTCAGCTTTCAGCGCTGTCACACTTTGAATGACAATTGCGCGGTCATGCAACACTGTACCCATAGGAAATTTTTATCATTTTTTGAGACATATAGAGCTTTCTTTTGGTGGTATTTAATCACCTCTGGGTTTTTTATTTTTTGCTAAACAAACCAAAAACAACTGAAAATTTTGAAAACAAAACAGGTTTTTTCTTAGTTTTTGTTATAAAATTTTGTAAATAAGTGATTTTTCTCCTTCACTGATGTGCGCTAATGAGGCTGCACTGATGGGCACTGATATGTGGCACTGATGGGCACTGATGAGGAGGCACCAGTAGGGGCCACTGATGGGTATTGACAGGCATCACTGACGGGCACTGCAAAGCAGCACTCATATATGGCACTGACAGGTGGCACTGTCTGGCACTGATAGGCGGCACTGATTGGCACTGTTAGGTGGCACTGACTGGCACTGATGCACACTGATAGGCAGCACTGACTGGCACTGATAGGCGGCACTGACTGGCACCGATAGGTGACACTGAAAGGCAGCTCAGATGGGCACTGATATGTGGCATTGATGTGCACTAGTAGGCACTGATATGTGGCATTGATGTGGCACTGATGGGCATAAACTCCACAATACAAAATTGTCAAAGAACAAGCACATTTGATTAAATGTAGTAAGTGTTGTTTAACCTTTTAAGAGGAATAACATTATATATATATACATATATATATATATATATATATATATATATACCGTATTTTCCGGCGTATAAGGCGACTGGGTGTATAAGACGACCCCCTAATTTTCCAGTTAAAACACAGGTTTTGGGCTATACTCATCGTATAAGACTACTCCCCTTCTGTGGCAACACCATTTAACCCCTAGCCTACAGGGTACTTATACCCACTTCCCCACCAGGCCAATTTTCAGCTTTCAGCGCTGTCACGCTTTGAATGACAATTGCGCGGTCATGCAACACTGTACCCATATGAAATAGGTGGCATTGATGGACACTGATGAGGAGGCACTGGTAGGTGGCACTGATGGGCATTGACAGGCATCACTGATGGGCACTGAAAGGCAGCACTGATAGGTGGCACTGATATGTAGCACTGACTGGCACTGTTAGGTGGCACTGACTGGCACTGATAGGTGGTACTGACTGGCACTGATAGGTGGCACTGATGGGCAGCACTGATGTGCACTGATAGGCAGCACTGACTGGCACTGATGCGCGCTGATAGGCGGCACTGACTGGCACTGATAGGTGGCACTGATTGGCAGCACTGATAGGTGGCACTGATGGGCATTGGCAAGCATCACTGATGGGCACTGAAAGGCAGCACTGATACATGGCACTGATAGGTGGCACTGACTGGCACTAATAGGTGGCACTGATTGGCAGCACTGATAGGTGGCACTGATTGGCATTGATAGGTGGCATTGACTGGCACTGATGGGTGACACTGAAAGGCAGCTCAGATGGGCACTGATATGTGGCATTGATGTGCACTGGTAGGCACTGATATGTGGCACTGATAGTTGGCACTGATGGGCACTAATAGGCGGTACTGATGAGGTGGCATGGATAGGCGGCACTGATGAACACTGATTGGCAGCACTGATAGGTGGCACTGATGGGCATTGACGGGCATCACTGATGGGCACTGAAAGGCAGCACTGATGCATGGCACTGATAGGCGGCACTGACTAGCACTAATTGGTGGCACTGATTGGCAGCACTGATAGGTGGCACTGATTGGCACTGATGGGTGACACTGAAAGGCAGCTCAGATGGGCACTGATATGTGGCATTGATGTGCACTGGTAGGCACTGATATGTGGCATTGATGTGGCACTGATGGATACTGACAGCTGGCACTGCTGGGGCTACACTGATCATCAGGGCACACTGATCATCAGTGCCCTGATGATCAGTGTACATGCCCCCTCCGCGGAAAGCCGATTACCAGCTCTCCTCTCCTCTGTCAGTGTGACAGCTCGAGAGGAGAGAAATGCCGATAACCGGCATTTCCCTGTTTACATGTGATCAGCTGTGATTGGACACAGCTGATCACATGACCGAGTTGACATTTTCGTCTCTTTCCGTGATCGTTGATCCGCTGTGTCCGAGGGACACAGCACATTGCCACGCATGCGAGGAGAATGGGAGGACGTCATATGAGCCAATCATGGCAAGTGATGTATTCTAATAATGAATACAGAGCCTGCTCGGATTGGCTGCGTCAGAGAGGCGGGCTGATGATGTCACAACTTCAGCCAATCCGAGCAGGCTCTGTATTCATTAATAGAATACATCGCTCACCGTGATTGGCTCAGCGCGGTACACTGTATGTAGCTGAAGCTACCGTACAGTATTACCGCACATCCAGCGGTTCTATTGTTGGGGCATGTTTTTAAGTAAAAAAAGTTGTCTTATACGCCGGACAATACGGTATATACACTGTATATACTGTGTGTGAAATATATATATATATATATACACACATACACATGTACACATACACACACAGTATATATACAGTTGTGCTCAAAAGTTTACATACCCTTGGAGAATTGGTAATATATTTACCAGTTTTGCAGAAAACATGAGTGAGCAGGAAACACACATTTCTTTTACTTCTTATGAAATTCATATTCAACTGTAGGGCATAACAGAATGGCAATCAGAAAACAAAACATGGCAACAAGTAAACAAACAAAATGCCCCCTGTTCAAAGGTATGCATACCCTTCATTCTTAATACTGTGTATTGCCCCCTGTAGCATCAATGACAGTGTGCAGTCTTTTGTAATAGTTGTCTATGAGGCCCCAAATTCTTGTAGGTAGTATACCTGCCCATTCATCTTGGCAAAATGCCTCCAGGTTATGCAAAGTCTTTGGTCGTCATGCATGAACTGCACGTTTGAGATCTCCCCAGAGTGGCTCAATGATATTAAGGTCTGGAGACTGTAATGGCCACTCCAGAACCTTCACCTGTTCCTGCTGTAACCAATGGAGGGTCAACTTGGCCTTGTGCTTAGGGTCATTGTCATGCTGGAAAGTCCAAGAGAGTCCCATGCACAGAAGAATGCAAATTGTCTACCAGTATTTTCTGATAAAATGCAGAATTCATCTTCATCATTCATTCATCAACTTTCACAAGATTCCATGTGCCTTTAGAGCTCACACTCCCAAATCAGTGAACCACCACCACAGTGAGGATGTTGTTCTTGTCACTATAGGCCTTGTTGACCCTTCTCCAAACATAACGCTTATAGTTGTGATCAAAAAGCTCTATTTTAGTCTCATCAGTCCAAATAACAGTGTGCCAGAAGTTGTGGGGCGTGTCGAAGTGTTGTTGGGCATATTGTAACTGGACTTTTTTGTGGAATTGGTGCAGTAAAAGCTTCATTCTGGCAACTTGATCATGCAGCACATTTTTGTTCAAGTATTGTCATCTTTTCCAGAGCAGCCTGTATTTCTCCTGAGATTACCTATTGGTTTTCCTTTGAATCCCAAACAATTCTTCTGGCAGTTGTGGCTGCAATCTTTCTTGGTCTACCTGACCTTGGTTTGGTGTCAAGAGATCAAGAGAAGTTTTCACTTCTTAATAAATGCCAGTATTTATGCCAATAAATATTCAAGGCTGTGGATATCTTTTAAAATCCTTTTCCATCTTTATAAAGTTCCATTACCTTGTTACACATGTCTTTTGACAGTTCTTTTCGGCTCCCTATGGTTCAGTATCTAGCCTGCTCAGTGCATCCACGTGAGAGCTAACAAACTCATTGACTATTTAGACACAGACACAGAAACTGCGATTTAAAAAGCCAAAGATGTGGGAAATTATGCTTTAATTGCCAATTTAACCTGTGTTTATCACCTTGTGTGTTTGTACCAAAGACAAACATTCCAGGGTATGTGAAATTTTGATCAGGGAGATTTGGGTGATTTCAGTTATCATTGTGATTTTAAAAGGAGCCAAAACAACTGTACGATAATAAATGGCTTCATATGATCACTATCCTTGACCACTTGCCTACTGGGCACTTACACCCCCTTCCTGCCCAGGCCAATTTTCAGCTTTCAGCGCTATCGCACTTTGAATGACAATTGCGCAGTCATGCAACATTGTACCAATATGACATTTTTTATAATTTTTTTTCACTCAAATAGAGCTTTCTTTTGGTGGTATTTACTCGCCGCTGGGTGTTATATTGTTTGCGCTATAAATAAAAAAATTGCAAAAAATTTGAAAAAAAAAGTTTTTTTCTTTGTTTCTATTATAAAATTTTGCAAACAGGTAATGTTTCTCCTTCACTGATGTGTGTTGATGAGGCTGCACTGATGGGCAGCACTGATGGGCACTGATAGGCAGCACTGATGAGGTGGCACTGATCGGCGGCACAGATGAGGTGGCACTGATAGGCAGCACTGATGAGGTGGCACTGATGATGCTGCACTGATATGCAACAATGATGGGCACTGATAGGTACTGATAGGCGGCACTGATGGGTGGCACTGACTGACAGCAGTGACTGGCAGTACTGCTGGGCACTGACTGGTGGCACTGCTGGGGGGCACTGATGGGCACAGATGGGTGGCACTGTTGGGCACAGGTGGGCGGCATTGCTGGGCACTGCTCATCAGTACCCTGATGGTCAGTGCCAATCCATCCTCTGACAATTGCCGGTTAACGGCAGTACTTTCCTCACGCTGTGACAGCATGAGGAAAGTGCAGCCGATAACAGGCAACTGCATTTACCCGGTGATCTGCTGTGTCACTGGACACAGTTGATGATGTGGCCTTTTAACACATCATGTGATCAGCTTTGTCCGTAGGACACAGCAACCACAGAGATCACCGGGTGCGTGCCCCTGGGGGCATGCGGGAGAGCGCATTCTGGGAGGACATCATATGACGCCCTCCCAGAACTGGACAAGTGCGCTGTAGCCGTTATTCGGCTATAGCGTGGTTGGCAAATGGTAAAAGTGGTAGTATGTTCTTTTTGTAAACTTTTACCTACATATAACTTACAATAAAGCTTACTTGTAGGTAAAATAAATATCTCCTAACTGTGCACCACTTAGGAGATATTTGCTCTTTCTGACAGCCGGTGCATGTACTCTGAAGGAACGGCATCCCAGTGCCATTCCTTCAGAGCACGGTGCTGTGGTCCAGGACTCCCGCGCATGTGCGGGAGTGACGTCATCGCGGCTTAGCCAGTCAGATGGCCAGAGCTCCTGAACCTGGAAGGAAGACTGGGGGAAGATGGAATCCTCTGCAGCAGTAGAGGGCTTTGTTTAAAGGTAAGTCCTTCATAATGTGCTAGTTTGCAATGCATACTTGCACATTATGACATTACCTTGCAGAGGATTTTTTTTTCAGGTACGTTTTACTACCGATTTAAATAAAAGACAGTTTTTTTGCACAATAAGTTAGTCATACTTTCAACATTATGCCAAAATGTCATGATTTCTGCCAGGGTATGCAAACTTTTGAGCACAACGGTATACTGTACATATATTGTTTATAATTATAACCTTGATATTTGTTCAGGTGGAACTATAGTGCAGTGTGTCAATAATATTAAGTCACTGGTCACGCTGTTGTAATTTAAAATTGTGAGATTTGGGTGCAATTTCAGGTTCAATTTCTAAAGACTTTATTGCTACTTCCATTATATTCTAGGTATGCAAAATTGCAACAAAATGCAGAAAAAGTAATGCAAGAACTACTTTAGAAATCGCACTGCAGCAAATTGCACATTAAGGCATTCACATTCATTAGATGCAATTTCAATTCCCAAATCGCACCAGTATGACCGGGCACTAAGGCTCGGTTCACACTTGTGCGGGTGGAAGCCACTGTAGGACACTTCGTCCTGCAGCTGCAACCACTCACACGCAAAACACAGGACCTATGGGCAGGTGCCATTAATCTTAATGGTATGCTACCCACACTGGAAATCACACCCGCACTGGGATCCTCACTGCTGCGATTTCTGGAAAGATGCAGGGACCTTTTCCCTGTGTTTTGTGAGGCACAGCAGCCCATTCAAATGAATGGGCTGCTGTGCCCACGCAAACACAGCCCACACACCACGCAAAGGTGTAACCTAGGCTCACTCAGCATTTGGGGCAAACCCTAAACTGGCAGGGGTGCTTACAACAGATAGCTTTTATTCATAGTTTAAAAAAAAAACATTTTACTGCAAACCCTTAGCTGAAAACACTGCCGCATGATTTCAAAGAACAAGCAGAGTTGTCACCCTATTAAAAGAAGTGAAACATGTTGACATACAGCTCAACAGGAAACAAGACTATGTTTCATGTAAGATTAAAAAAAACCCCAGAAATATATGTATTAATGCTGGTAACAGATTTCATCATATACAGTATGTCATTTTTTATTATGCCCATAGATCAACTTAAAGATAATGAAAAAGTAGCAATGAATTATGCTCCCTATCCCTAAACCCAGTCTTGTTTACAGTGAAGTTTGGTACTGATTATTTTCCCATATTATAGTATAGTCTAACTGATTTTAATTCATTAATACTATGGACCAATCCTCTTAATTCACGCAAAGCTGGACACATCTTAGTATGGATTTACCCTAAAGAAGAATGTATTAACCAAGGGCTGTCACTGTTTTATAATCCATTTGATATACAGATAACTACAGAATGATTCAGGTATTCAAGAATGCCAGTAAGGTGTACTCACAAATTGACAATGAAAAGCTTTTTACTCAAGATACTTATGATCTCCTGGCTCTGATGGTGGCTTCAATCGGAGTTGTAGGGTTGTGTACCAATTCATTAGTGCTGATTCTGTATTGCAGATTCAAACCATTAAGAACTCCAACAAATCTTCTCTTGGTGAATCTCAGTTTCAGTGACTTTGTGTTCTCACTTTTTGGGCTCAGTTCTATTTTTGCATCATGTGTAAGCCGGAAGTGGATCTGGGACAAAGCAGGATGCATTTTTGTTGGATTGTGTGAAAATCTATTGGGTAAGGTAATTTTGTACTGTAATCTGACAATTATTGCAAGATGTAGTTTATTAATTTAGTAGTTGTATGTAACACTTACATAATGTGTGATAACAATTTAGCTACTAGCCTGCGGGGGGGCAGACTAATATTGCTGACTGAGAAGATTCACTCACCCTGCACATAGGGTCCCTTCCATACGCATGCTCATCAATGCCCTGGGACAAAGAGACAGCTGCGTTCAGGTGAAATCAACCATAAGGCAGACCCTGACTTAGAGATGAGCCGTGCAAAGTGTGCAATGAATATACACTCACCGGCTACTTAATTAGGTACACCTTGCTAGTGCCAAGAAAATATCCCCCACACCATTACACCACCAACTCCAGCCTGAATCATTGATACAAGGCAGGATGGATCCATGCTTTCATGTTGTTTACGCCAAATTCTGATCCTACCATCTGAATGTCACAGCAACCAGTCTGCGCATTCTCCTCTGACATCAACAAGGCATTTTCATCCACACAACTGCAACTCACTGGATATTTTGTCTTTTTTGGACCATTCTCTGTAAAGCATAGAGATGGTTGTGTGTGAAAAACCCAGTAGACCAGCAGTTTTTGAAATACTCAGACCAGCCCATCTGACACCAACAACCATGCCACATTCAAAGTCACTTAAATCCCCTTTCTTCCCCATTCTGATGCTCGGTTTGAACTTCCCTCTCCACCTATCCAGCATACCTCTACCACCTCACTCCAAGTGACAGAATGGGGTCCTGCTGAGCACCTAGCATGTGCCTCATGCCTGCTCACACTTAACTCCTCACATTCTCTTCTGTACCATGTGGCTAGGCTGAGGGTCTCCTTAGCACAGATTTGAAACCAACCGCTAGGGAGAAAGTTCAATCACTGACCCTGTCACTACTGGAGGACGTCTTACCTTGCCCTGGTACCTCGCTTCACAGCAGGCTGCTATTTGCATGACTTAAGACCTTGGTTAGCCGTGGCAACCACTCTCCTCAGAGTTAACCTCCCATAGTAGGTTTACTTCATATTCCTGAAACTCTTGGGCAATTGTGGCTTTCTACAGCATTGGATGATCCTACTTGAGTCACCTGATCTGTATTCAGTTGAATAATGCCACAATGGTGGCAAACATGAATCACGGAACAGTTAGAAGCATTGACATGGCAAGTGAGGTAGATTGGATCTTGTCCTGAGCAGAGCTTCACGTTCCAGCCTTGAATGTGCTTTAACTGACCCAAGTTAATTTAGCTGCCATTTGATCCTTCATGCATGCCTTTAAGTAACTTCAGACCAGGCTTGGTGAACCATTTAACAAACTTTACTTAGCATTAAGTGCAAAGACACAACTCCAATTTACAATTTACAGTCTAATGCAAAATCAATAAGCATCTGATTAGTGGCTGCCCAGACATACCTTATACTGGTGATAGTCCATTTGGCACTCCCAAAAAAAACAATGTCTTCGGGTGGACTGAAAGGCCCAGCAGTCCCCCTTCGCAGATCAGTATTATAGCATCTCTGAAACAGGCTGACAAACCAAAGGATGAAACATAACCTTAAGACTCAGGTATGTCACAGGGCTGCAGTACTCGGCTTTCCCCCCTTATATTAGCAGCACAGGTCAGGTATACTGGGTCCAAGAAGCCTGGGAAACAAAACAGAGTGGTCCTACAAGCCCATGTTATGGCATAAAACCATTTGAGGACAGCTGTTGTCTACTCACATGGTATAGGGTGCCTTCACTTTGGCCCCTGACAGCACCAAAGGGCCAAACATAACCCATATAGTATATCTACTGCTAGACAGGACTGCCAGAAACTGCAGGCTTACTAGAGGAAATGGTTGATGTGGACATGCTGCAGGCGTGGTTGAAGACTGCATATATGCTGCAGAAGGCAATGAGAAATCGGGGACATGTTACATGAAGCTAGAGATCACTCCTATTACCCCTTTACAAACCAATGTTCACACTATAGTCTCTTGGGAACCAAAGGCTATACAACAAGAATCAAAGGCCTGCATGTGGCCACCAGGGACTTAGAGCATGCTTATCCAAACATGGGAAAAACACACACACACTCCATGCAGACATGGACATGAATACAAACACTACAATTGCTAAAAGACTGATGTTAGAAAATGTACATTGAGTATTTGGGTCAGTTCAGTGTTGCCTTATGTGCATATCTGTCAGAAGCTAACAATTCAACTTTTTGTTTCACAGGCTGTGTGTCAATCTTTACACTTACTGTTGTGGCGTACGAACGATATATCCGAGTGGTATTTGAAAAAGTTGTTGATTTCCCTTGGTCATGGAAAGCTATCACTTCTGTCTGGTTGTGTTCCATGGCCTGGACTTCAGCACCATTAATGGAATGGAACAGATATATTCTAGAACCCCATGGACTAGATTGCTCCTTGGACCGGGTATCAACAGAGACGAGCCAATCCTCTTTCATTCTCCTTTCATTTTTAGCTTGTTTTGTTGCCCCAGTGAGTATTATGATTTACTGCTATGGCTACATCCTATACTCAATCCGAATGGTGAGTAATACTTATAAATATTTTATACACACAATTGTACCCATAAATGCATGTGTGAAATCCTGGGGCTGGTTGACTTCTTCCAGAGCTTGTTATATCTCTGCAAGGACAAAATGGGCTACTGGCCAAATAAATCTATACAGGGGTATGGGTTTTCAAAAGTCAAAAAGGATCTTAACAAAATCTGCACAATCGCAAACTAAGTGTATTGTGTATGGGTGTGTATGATGGGAGCACACGATGACTGAAAATTTCTCTGCATCATGAAAAGATCAAAGGGCTCACCTGTGGATTACATTGCTACTATACAGTCATTTTTTGCATGTGTTGAAAAGGAAGACAATTGACAAGGTGATGCAATAATAATTCATTAGAGAAATACAGAGTCACTAAAAGGCTTTTAATAAATAACTATTTAAGATGTAAAAATAGTGATTCCAAAACAATGTGATATTTAATTATGAACTGAAATGTTTAATTTAAAGTAGACCCTTGTTCCAATCTTTACTTTGAATAGACCCATGTGACTTTATATACTTTGTTTGCTCACAGCCGACATTCTGCCCCACTTTCATGCATTTTTATGTTTTGTATTGAACTCTATGAGCTTATCATTTTTTTTAGTATGCTGACATCTAGTGGTGGTTTTGGACCACTGCAGCTGGTTAGCTAATGTGATTTTGGTATCTTCCTGTGTCCTCCCCTGCACTTTAGGAATAGTTAGTTTAGTCTTAGCTGGATCCTCCCTACTTCTTCCATGTTCCCCCCAGTCTAGACTTGGGCAAAATGATTCTTTTTAGTGATTTGAAACATTTGGATCAGTTCAATTAAATGATTTGAATCACTGAATCGCATCACGACTCATTTCCTCCAAGCTAAGCTAGGATCATGAGCTCCACTCCTCTGATGCACTCAGTACTTAATTCATCAAATGAGCACTCCGCAGTTCTCCAGATTCAGAGTTGTTTTACATATACATTTATAACAATTGTCTTGCTGGTTCCTCACACACATCTCATGATACAAAAGAGAATCTTTTGTGCTCTCTGGAACCCTGAGTCATTCACAGAATCAGACCCTTGTTGCCCCACACAGAAACCTCAAGATACAAAACAGAATCCTTTGTGCTCTCTGAGACTCTGAGCCATTCAAAGACTCAGAGTCTTGCTGCTGCTTCACATACAGCTAATGATACAAAACAGTGTCTTGTGTGCTCTGTGATTTATTCAGGGACTTGGAGTCTTGCTGGCTCACACAGCTAAATATGTTATAGTGAAAAATGTGTGAACTGCGCTTAGGTAAACAAAAAATGAGAATAAATGAAAACCTTAAAAAGCTGGAAACACACTATGAGATATTATCATAGTCACAAAATACATAGAACAAGTGTTGCGCTAATTCATAAAAATACATATGTGCTAAACATCAAAAATGTACATCAAATACTAAATGCCCTAATCCGCAAGTGCAATGCAAAATATACTGTATAATAAAGTCTCAAAGGCTGGAATAGTAATGGATAGTATGCCACTCCAAATGACAGCTGTAGGATAGGAATATTTCCCAGAAAAACAGAAGGATCCACCACCATAAAACACCATGCAAGGCTTGCCAGAAATATATGACCTTCTGGTTAAAGAAAGGTCAACATGCGCATTATTCACAGATCTTAATGGTAATCATCAGAGGGTAGAAGGCAACATATTTGTAAAGGGAATCACTTTGGGTGGGGGGCCCATGGAACCCAGCTCACTTTGGAGAAGTGGGGAGACCCCTGTCTCAGCTCCCCATATCCCTCTTATGTGTAAATCAACCTGTGCCTGTTAGGGGTACAGGGTGATCTGTCCTAATATTGTGTGGGCTTTGTGTCAGACTGTGTAGACATGTTTAGGAGATAGGTGGGGTGGGGGTTGTTAATTGTTTAATGTTATGTGGCTGCATCCCATTGTTCTATTGTTTGTCTTGCTTGGGTATCTGGGGTCCCTTACAATATTCATCTCAGAAGAAGCTTGGGAAAGATTTTACAATTACATATCCATCCCATTGACATATCAAAGATAAAACAAAAAACTACACATGCAGAGTTTTTTTAATCTTTGATACCCCATTACTGGGGTGGCTACAAGTCATTTTTAGGAGGGGGTGGTCCTTTTTTCCAACTCTGATTCATTTTTTCATTTTTATTTTTCTGACATGTTGGTGTAATATCATTCAGGAGAGGAGCTCTTGGGCAGAAAAAAACAACCGAGGCATCTGAACACACCTAAACACATTAGCAAAAATGCAACTTACTAGGTGCCTTTTTAAAGCTGCTTTTCTCCTGCTAGAAGGAAAGCGGGTACAAAAGCCCCAGTGTGCTAGAAGCTTATAGCACAAAGAGTGATAGCTTTCTCACTTGTCAAATATGTAGAATGTATTAAATGGACAATTTGGTCTTAATATATTGCACTGTGTCAATTTGTACTGAATTTGACGATGATATAGCAAATCTATGGATTCATGTTTTTTTCACTTATCAGAGGGCCCTGCTCCTTAAAGCTTATAATCTAAAAGGGGAGGGTCAAGTGATACAAAAGGTAATAACTGTGGGGGGTGAGCTGATGTAAAAATAAAAGTACAATTGTTAGGTGGAGACATTATTGGCTTCTCTGAAGAGAGAAGTTTTCAGGGATCGCCTAAAAGTGGACAGAGTAGGAGATAGTCAAACAGATTGTGGTAGGGAGTTCCAGAGGATAGGAGAGGCTCAGGAAAAGCCCTGAAGGTGAGCATGGGAGAAGGTGACAAGGGAACTAGAGAGCAGGAGGTCTTGGGAGAACCAAAGAGAATGATTTGGTTATTTTGAGACTAGGTTAGTGATGTAGCAGGGGGCAGATTTGTGGATGGCTTCATAAGTTATTGTTAGTATTTTGAATTTAATTTGTTACGTGAGTGGCAGCCAATGGAAGGATTGGCAGAAAGGGGTGGCAGACATTGAATGGTTGGTAAGGTGGATGAGTCTGGCAGCAGCATTCATCATGGACTGAAGAGGGGATAGCCTATGTACCAATGAGCTGGGAGTTGCAGTAATCAAGGCGTGAGATGACCATGGAGTGGACTAGGAGCTTTGTTGAGGAGGTTGAGGAGGCAAGCTTTGAAAAATGTTTGGATTTGGGGTCGAAAGGAGAGTTTAGAGTCCAAGATTACACCTAGCACCTCGGCATGCAGGGATGGGTTGATAGTTGTGCCATTGATCTTGACAGAGAAGTCAGGGTAAGGGGTATGTGGGGGAGGAAATATTAAGAGCTCAGGTTTGTATAGCTTGAATTTGAGGAAGTGATGTGACATTCAGATTGATATGTCTATTAGTAAATTAGTGATGCATGAGGAGACTGATAGAGTGAGTTGAGGGGTAGAGAGAGAGATTTCAGTGTCATCAGCGTAGAAATGACATTAAAAGCCATTGAAGGCTGTCAGCTGACCCAGGGAGGAGGTGTAGATTGAGAATAGGAGACGTCCAAGAAAAAAACCTTTGGGGATCCCCACGGAGAAAGTAAGAGGAGAGTTGGCAGTAGAATTGTAAGTGGCACCGAAGGTGTGGTGGAATAGGTAGGATGAGAAGAGCACAGTCACGGAGACCAAAGTTGTAATTTTTTTTAAGGAGGAGAGGGTGGTCAGCCATATCAAAGGCAGGCTTAAAGTCCAGAAGTAGGAGTACAGAATAGTGTACATTGGTTTTTGCTGTTAGTAAATTGTTTGTGGGTTTTAGGAGAGCGAATTACAGACTGAAAGGGATCAAAAAGGTTATTATTAATACTTAGTACAGTATAAAACCAACGGTGTGAGATAACCCATAGAAATCAGAATTTACCCTTTAAACAGCACACAGAAGTCAGAACAGTGAAATATGACTGTTGATTGGATTCTTCACTGTAGTGTACTTGGATTAACCATTTGCCCTCCAGAGGATTTACCCCCCTTCCAGACCAGGCCATTTTTTGCGCTACTTTAACTGACAATTGTTTTGTTTGCTAACAGTGCTCCTCCCTGTCGGAGATCCTCGGCAATCACTGGGCGCCCGCGAGAAATCACCGGCCGGGACCCGGTGATTGACAGCCGCGGCCATGATGGGTGGCACGGGTAGGGCGCGCTCGCACGTGCCCCCTACCTGGAAATGCAAATATATATACAGTCAGGTCCATAAATATTGGGACATCGACACAATTCTAACATTTTTGGCTCTATACACCACCACAATGGATTTGAAATGAAACGAACAAGATGTGCTTTAACTGCAGACTGTCAACTTTAATTTGAGGGTATTTACATCCAAATCAGGTAAACGGTGTAGGAATTACAGCAGTTTGCATATGTGCCTCCCACTTGATAAGGGACCAAAAGTAATGGGACAATTGGCTTCTCAGCTGTTCCATGGCCAGGTGTTTGTTATTCCCTCATTATCCCAATTACAATAAGCAGATAAAAGGTCCAGAGTTCATTTCAAGTGTGCTGTTTGCATTTGGAATCTGTTGCTGTCAACTCTCAAGATGAGATCCAAAGAGCTGTTACTATCAGTGAAGCAAGCCATCATTAGGCTGAAAAAACAAAACAAACCCATCAGAGAGATAGCAAAAACATTAGGTGTGGCCAAAACAACTGTTTGGAACATTCTTAAAAAGGAGGAACGCACCGGTGAGCTCAGCAACACCAAAAGACCCGGAAGACCACGGAAAACAACTGTGGTGGATGGCCGAAGAATTCTTTCCCTGGTGTAGAAAACACCCTTCACAACAGTTGGCCAGATCAAGAACACTCTCCAGGAGGTAGGTGTATGTGTGTCAAAAGTCAACAATCAAGAGAAGACTTCACCAGAGTGAATACAGAGGGTTCACCACACGATGTAAACCATTGGTGAGCCTCAAAAACAGGAAGGCCAGATTAGAGTTTGCCAAACGACATCTAAAAAAAGCCTTCACAGTTCTGGAACAACATCCTATGGACAGATGAGACCAAGATCAACTTGTACCAGAGTGATGGGAAGAGAAGAGTATGGAGAAGGAAAGGAACTGCTCATGATCCTAAGCATACCACCTCATCAGTGTAGCATGGTGGTGGTAATATCATGGCGTGGGCATGTATGGCTGCCAATGGAACTGGTTCTCTTGTATTTATTGATGATGTGACTGCTGACAAAAGCAGCAGGATGAATTCTGAAGTGTTTCGGGCAATATTATCTGCTCATATTCAGCCAAATGCTTCACAACTCATTGGACGCCGCTTCACAGTGCAGATGGACAATGACCCAAAGCATAGTGCAAAAGCAACCAAAGAGTTTTTTAAGGGAAAAAGAAGTGGAATGTTATGCAATGGCCAAGTCAATCACCTGACCTGAATCTGACTGAGCATGCATTTCACTTGCCAAAGACAAAACTGAAGGGAAAATGTCCCAAGAACAAGCAGGAACTGAAGACAGTTGCAGTAGAGGTCTGGCAGAGCATCACCAGGGATGAAACCCAGCATCTGGTGATGTCTATGCGTTCCAGACTTCAGGCTGTAATTGACTGCAAAGGATTTGCAACCAAGTATTAAAAAGTGAAAGTTTGATTTATGATTATTATTCTGTCCCATTACTTTTGGTCCCTTAACAAGTGGGAGGCACATATGCAAACTGTTGTAATTCCTACACCGTTCACCTGATTTGGATGTAAATACCCTCAAATTAAAGCTGACAGTCTGCAGTTAAAGCACATCTTGTTCATTTCATTTCAAATCCATTGTGGTGGTGTATAGAGCCAAAAATGTTAGAATTGTGTCTGTCCCAATATTTATGGACCTGACTGTATATATGTGATTTTGCGTACAGCTGCCTCCCTGTAGCAGTATTTCTGCTATGGGGCAGAGCTGAAGCAGATAAAATGAACTTGTACAGACATAAATATGAAGCCTGCTGTTTCCCCTCATAAAAGCTTGTTGCCTAACTCAAAAGCTAGTCTGGAGTTCTGGACTACATACCTGTTCTGGCTTAGTAAATCAGAACATGCTTAAGATGGAGGCAGCCAGGAAACTAGCATTTTCATAAGGAGTTCAGCAGTGGCAGCCTCCACATTTCTCTCAGTTCAGGTAGACTGCAGGAAAACAATTCAATAAATCAATCAATGGTAACTGTTTACCTGCAAATGATTTGTATGTCTATTAATTAATTTCTGAGATTTACACAGCAGGCAAAACGTGCGACCGGACTTTACTGTCGTTAGGTCTCTTCCTTGCCCCCAGCTTCTAATTGGACAGTGAAGGAGAAACAACATATTGATGAGCTGCTATCCTTCAGTCAGCATGTCCCTTGCTTGGAGATGAGCACTGCAGCACAACTGATTGGCTGCCCCTCCTTCTCCTAATCTAAGCTTGGTTGTGCAGAGAATTGCAAGAGGCTAATACTGTGTCAGATTCATATACACAAATTGATAATGGCATAAATTTGTGGGGTTATTTAATCTGTTTGAAATTCAGCTTTAAAGCACAGCTCCAGGAAATTTGAAAACTCCTCTTTGCAGTGGGACTTTGCCCACACTGCAAGGACAGTTGCTCATTTAGGTCTAGGGAACATAACAAAGATGATTTACTTTATCCGATCCTCCAGTCCACTGTGCAGCTAGAGCAGTTCCTGCAGTGTCACCTTCATGCTCCATTGGTCTAAGGCAGTGTTTTTCAACCTTTTTTGTGCAAAGGCACACTTTTTTCATGAAAAAAATCACGAGGCACACCACCATTAGAAAATGTTAAAAAAATGTACCTCTGTGCCTATATTGACTATATATAAAGTAATTCTCTTGAATAGGAATCAAACACAAAGAAATTATTTTATAATTACTTTATTATGAAATAATAAAGTATTTTATAATTGGACCCGGGGGCCGGACCAAGAGTAGATGAATGATGTGTATGTGTCATCCATAGTAAGTATAGTAATATTCCCCCATAGTAAGCATAGTAATTAATCCCCCATATAGTAATTCATCCCCCATATAGTAATTCATCCCCCATAGTAATTCATCCCCCATAGTAATTAATCCCCCATATAGTAATTCATCCCCCATAGTAATTCATCCCCCATAGTAATTAATCTCCCATATAGTAATTCATCCCCCATAGTAATTCATCCCCCATATAGTAATTCATCCCCCATAGTAATTCATCCCCCATAGTAATTCATCCCCCATATAGTAATTCATCCCCCATAGTAATTCATCCCCCATATAGTAATTCATCCCCCATAGTAATTAATCCCCCATATAGTAATTCATCCCCCATAGTAATTCATCCCCCATAGTAATTAATCTCCCATATAGTAATTCATCCCCCATAGTAATTCATCCCCCATATAGTAATTCATCCCCCATAGTAATTCATCCCCCATAGTAATTCATCCCCCATATAGTAATTCATCCCCCATAGTAATTCATCCCCCATATAGTAATTCATCCCCCATATAGTAATTCATCCCCCATAGTAATTCATCCCCCATATAGTAATTCATCCCCCATAGTAATTCATCCCCCATAGTAATTCATCCCCCCATATAGTAATTCATCCCCCATATAGTAATTCATCCCCCATATAGTAATTCATCCCCCATACAGTAATTCATCCCCCATAGTAATTCATCCCCCCTATAGTAATTAATCCCCCATATAGTAATTCATCCCCCATATTAAGTCCCCAAGCCCCCCCTGTGTCAATTCACTTACCTTTGCTCCGCGCGTTCCTCTCGCCGTTCCGGTGTAGCATGAAAATCTGTCTCCTATGAGGATTTGTCCCCCTCGACGAATCTGCGCATGTGCCAGTTTCAGGCATTAGCAGCCGATCGGCGATCTCCGGCACATGCGCAGATACGTCGAGGGGGACAGATCATCCTGACAGTATCACGCTCCGCGGGCCGGATTAAAAGGTCCGCCGGGCCGTAGTTTGCCCATTGCTGTTCTAATGATTGGTCTATTTGTGAGCCGAGGCCACATGTTACGGATGAAATTGCAATTTTTCCCACGGCACACCAGACAATATCTCACGGCACACTAGTGTGCCGCGGCACAGTGGTTGAAAAACGCTGGTCTAAGGTCCTGATGTCATCAAAAATGATGCAGCATCTGAAGCCCTGTATTGGATGTGTTGATGCAGAGGGACAGTCCACCACCAGAGCATGGGGGAGCACCTTCTACAGGGGGAGCAGGGATCAGGTAAGTAAAAGTGCTTTTACTCTCCCCTAGAATGAACACGCAGTCAATTTTTGCAGTGCAGATGCAGCCCCACTGCAAGGGATAATATTCAAATTTCCTGGAGTTGGGCTTTATCAAAATAAGGGTTACAGTGTTAGCTTACTATTACCATTGGAAGAATGTCTTAGTTGTAGTAAACTGATTGAAATACAATGGCAATCAAATATATCTATTGTTTTCTTTTGTATCTTTAGCTTCGAAAGTTACAAAGTGTTGAAACAAGTCATGTGCTCAGACTTTTGCACTATGAAGTAAAAGTGGCTATAATGTGTCTTCTGATGATTTTGGCCTTTCTTCTTTGCTGGATGCCTTACACAGTGCTGTCTTTTCTGGCAATGAGTGGCCATGGTAACATGATTACCCCAGCAACAGCCATTGTGCCCTGCGTTTTGGTCAAAATAGGTGCTGCAACAAATGCAATCATCTATATACTAACAAACAAAAAGGTAAGCAACATTCCTTTATATTATTTTACATATCTTCTTTTATCAAACTTAGTAACTATAGTGCTACCTTCAAAATAGCCGCTTGTATGTTTTCCATGGGTTTACCCTTGCTTTGCCCTACAGCCAGGTACAGTGTATTTCTTCAGCTCAACACACACACACCTCCGCTCGTTGTCTTCAATGACCAGTCCAGGGGATGTTTTGTTTTTGGAGTTTTATTGTAGAACTGGGGATAGGGATGGGGAATTGTAGTAGGATACTCCAAAATTAGAACTAGACAGAGCTTTGGCACACAACTCCCCTCAGTCAGCTTACTGAAGAACCAGGGTAACTCTCTAACTTCAGGGCCTCAGGTCGACCCACCTGTGGCTGCATGGCAGTAAGTGCCAGGGGAGGCAGCCTGCCTCCATCCTGGCTTGTTGCAATCCACTCCTGGGAAAGACCCTGAACCCATGTGCACTTAGAATATAAATAGCACTCCCATCATGCAATGGGACTGCCTTCCCCTGTAATTGGCCAGGGCTGTATCCATCTTCATGCTGTTCATTTGCCTAGCCCCTACCCATGTTCTGGAAGGCTCTGTCATAGCTTCCTGAAGGCAGGCAGAACTCAGACAAACTCCAGCAGCACCAGAGTAGCATGAGCAAACCTAATCAATCACAGCAGTCTGTTAAGCAGAATACCACACTGAATTTACCTGACAGCCTCTCTGGTAGGCACAAAAACGCAGCTATGCTGAACCTAACTATACATAGGATAGTATAGGCTCCGTCCTCGGGCCCCTTCTCTTCTCCATCTACACCTCCTCCTTGGCCAACTCATACACTCTCACAGCTTCAACTATCACCTCTATGCCAACGACACACAAATCTATCTCTCAACCCCTCGCCTCACCCCGAATCACAAACCTACTAAACAACATATCAGACTGGATGTCGCTCCACTTCCTTAAACTGAACCTCTCCAAAACCGAGCTCCTAGTCTTCCCCCCAGCCCGGACACCACCCCCCATTGACTACTCTATCACGTCCAACAATGCCACTATCAGGCCCGCCCCGCAGGCCAGAGTACTTGGTGTCATTCTGGACTCCAACCTATCCTTCCAGCCCCAAGTCCAATCATTAACAATTCATGCAGACTCCACCTCTGCAACATCGCCAAAATCTGCACGTTCCTAACCCCAGAAACCACTAAACAGCTCATCCACTCCCTAATCATATCACGACTCGACTACTGCAACTCCCTCCTCACTGGCCTGCCTCGCCACAGGCTATTCCTGCTTCAGTCGATCCTGAATACGGCAGCCAGACTCATTCACCTTACCAATCACTCCGTTTCCGCCACCCCCCTCTGCCAATCCCTCCACTGGCTTCCGATTGCACAACGGATCAAATTCAAAATCCTAACACTGACGTACAAAGCTGTCCACCATACTGCCCCGAACTACATCACCGACCTGATATCCAAATACTACCCAACATCGCTCCTCACAGGACCTCCTACTCTCTAGCTCCCTGGTCTCCTCCTCCCATGCCCACCTCCAGGACTTCTCCAGGGTGTCACCCATCCTATGGAACTCCCTACCCCAATCCATCAGACTATCACCTACTCTCCTCTCCTTTAGGCGTACCCTGAAAACCCACCTCTTCAGGGAAGCCTACCCCACCCCCAGCTAATTTGCCGACCTCCTCCACTCTTCCTACCACTCCATCCCCCACAGCTATCTCCTCCTGTACCAATCTCCCCTCCCTCCTAGATTGTAAGCTCGAAAGAGCAGGGCCCTCGAACCCCTCGTGTATCGCATTGTATTGTATTGTAATTGTACTGTCGCATGTTCTGTCTCCCTTTACAATGTACAGCGCTGAGCGAACTGTTTGCGCTTTATAAATACTGTATAATAATAATAATATCCTAGCACCTAACTAGGAGGGTGCTACATAACTATTACCACTGCATACAACCTAATGAAATGTCAGAAAGTACAGTATGTTGGAATTCACCAAAATGCATGCTAAGTGTTGTCCAGGTTTACTAGCTTTAAAGTGAACCCTTTGCTTTGTCCTTCATGGGAAAAGCTCAGGTTTACCTTATACCATATATATCTCTGCAGCTGATCCACTAAACAATCCCTTGACACCACCATCAACAAAGTGTCCTTCTCTTGTTGCTTGATTTTCTGACTATAAAACAGTCTAATAGTACAAGCTCTTGAGGTGTAAAAACTATGGCACCACCTAAAAAACCCTTTAATTTGTACCAGATGAATTAAGAGCTAACCACAGCTATAGCAGCATGAGCAGCTGTTTTGGAGCTTGGGAGTGGGATTTTACTGTTGTGGGTTTAGTAACAATTTAGGCTTAACCAGATTCAGATTGGTGTCTTTCATATGCAATATGTCTTTTATATAGGTGCATGATGTTGGTATCCTTTGAATTTTATTTTAAACAAGGATTATTAAAGTGTTACTAAACCCACAACAGTAAAATCTGTCTGTGTATGCAGTAAAGCATGCTTGTTATACTCACTGTAACCCCCTGGTTCACATCTATGTGGCCGTTCAGGCCACGTTTTGCACGGGCACGAGAGCCCATTTATTTGAATGGACTCCCGTGCCTGTGACATGCAGGGAAAGAAGTTCCTGCACTTCTTTGGAAAATGGAGCCTGCTTGGGAACCTCGGTTCCCAGTACGGTTGCATTTTCCAGTGCGAGCGGCGTGCCATTAGGACTAATGGCACCCGCCCGCAGGTCTGCATTTCTCTTTGCGGGTGGTGCGGCTGCATGGATTTTCGTGTGGATCCACAGCAGCACTACCCGCACCGATGTGAACCTAGGGTAAAACCTAAAGAGTTAATCTTCTAAATTGTGTAAAAAAGCTGTCTTCTCTGATCCTCCCCATCTTCAACAGTCCCCAATCCATCTGCTGATATTACAGAGCCCTTTTTTTTGGGGGGGGGGGGTTGGAGGGTGGATGGTATCAGCACAGGGCCAATCAGCACTGTCCAGACATGGGGTCAGGGGTCATACAGCCTCACAGGATAGTCAGAGGAGAATGAAAACTCCTCCTACAAGTACACTGATAAAAGTCACAAGATTACTAAATACTGCTGATCAGAAAAAGTATTTAGCAGTTTATATTTACTAAAATAATTGCATTTCCATGTTCTGTGTGCTGTGGGAGACCAGATATAGTGAACACAGGGTCCTGAGTTTAGTGACACTTTAAGTTTAACTTTACTCATACTGAGAATAAAAACATGTATACATTAGGAATGTAATTGTAAAATCACAATAGATACCAATATCTGCATTCTATAATTTTCCTCCTTCCTCTGTGCTATATGGGAGGGTACAGTACAGAAATGAATGGTATCACCACCTGTCAGACCTCACACACAGACACTAGCCTGCTTGGTAAATTGCTGTTTTACCATGCAGGCTAATGTGAACGAGCCCTAAAGGATAGGTTCACTTTAAGAAAAAGTAGACTTATCCTTTTTGCTTTTTTCCCCTGACCTAACCCAAATCCTCATCCTCAACAGATGCATACTTGCCTACCGAGCAAATGTAAAAATCATCATTGTTTTTGCTAGAAAATTACCCCAAACATTATATATATTTTCTAAGCAGGGACCCTAGAGAATAAAATGGTGGGTGCTGCAATTTTTTATGTCACATAGTATTTAGGCAGCGATTTTTCAAATACAATTGTTTTGGAAAAATATGCTTTAATGAATTTTAATGCAAAAATAAAAATCTAACCCAATTTTTTTGCAGGATTTAAAAGAGGATGTTATGCTGAGTAAATGGATACCTAACAAGTCACGCTTTAAAATCCCACACTCTTGTGGAATGGCGCTAAAATACAGTATTTAAAAATCTCCATAGGTGACACTTTAAAAATGTTTACAGATTACCAGTTTAGAGTTACAGAGGCGATCTAGCTCTAGAATTATTGCTCTCGCTATAACATTTGCGGTGATAGCTCGCATGTGTGGTGCGAACACCTTTTACATATGCAGGTGTGACCTACATATGCATTTAAAGTAAAAAAGTGCTCCTGCGCTTATGGATGTTAACACTCAGTAATACAAATCAGACCTGGTTGCAGCAGTCATATATATGTGTAAAATAAAAAAACAACATTTAAAAAAAACAAATGAACCGCGCATGGTCATAAACATGTGCATATTATAAACATATCATAAACCAGTTCCATAGTTGGTGAAAAAAGAAAAAGGTGCTCGTGCAACTTGTATCCGATATCTTGTTTAGTGCTCCATTGTACTCAACAATAGTGCCCCACATGGACTGACACTCACCCTTATTCCATGACCATCTATCTCTAGAGTGGTCATTAACACTTTACAGAACAATCTCAGTAAGCCAATGGTCCCCGAATCCTTTTAGCCTATGGACGTATTCCTAGAATGGTCCGTGACATATAAGGACAATTGCCAAACAGTCCGCTATCTCCACAACTCCGCAAGTAGCAGTGAAATAAATCACCATGCATGAAGAAAAAGAAGGAAACATCCCATAGTGTAAACCTGTATTATTACCTTCATTAAGGATGATTTAGCTAAATATACACTCACAAATGAAGTGCCTGTAGCCCGGCACTTGGTGTACGTCAGCCTTGTTGTGAATCAAAGATGGAAGCTGCTGTCCTGGTCCTTCCTCGGAGCAGCGTGCAGTCCACAGAGTGGATGTGACGTCGTGGAAGTTGTGTCATCAAATCTCAACCCGTTTCAATCAAAGATTGTCTTCAGGAAGTGCACTTTGATTCACAAGGCTGAGTACACCAGGTGCCAGGCTACAAATGGTGTATACATCTGCAAGAATTGGAAGTCGCTTCCGGGACCTCCCAGGACCATAGAGATGGCCAAAGACCATCCAGCCCACGGCAAGCTCTATGGTAACCTGGTGGCATCACTGGATTGGATACCGGGTTCCCCTTCACATGGGAGAGGGGGGTGGGTGTCCCCCTCTCGCTGCCTGTAAAAGCAATCCAGTGGCTAATCAGCCACTAGGATGGCTTTTACAAAACAGGTAATGACTGGCTGAAAAAAAGAGATAC